TATAAATATAAATGAATAAATTATATAAAATATCATTTAATATATTCTAAAATTATATAAATATAAATTTATATATTCTAAATGTTATAATATCAATTAATATATGAGATAAATTTATACTTACATTTTTGTATCCATTTAAATTTTCCCGCAAAAATAAAAAAGCACAAAAAAATCAAACCAGATTGCTTTTTTTTTAACGCTTGCCGTAAAAAAATCCAATTTGCACAATACCATTTAAAATGCATTATTAGATTTTAAAACGGAGCGTTGCAACGCTTAATTTGTAAGCACTATTAGGCTTTATAAATAAATTTATATGACGCTTCTAGCTCAAATATATAGAAAGATATTAAAAATTAAAATGAGTGCATTTTGGACAAAATGTCACATTTTTTTGACCTTAAGAGGCCCATATGTCAGCAGCTGTTTGGAGTTGGAGGCTAAAATTTTATTTTTTTCTTGGTTATAATAAATGCAAACTCTAGTAAAAATTTTAGAAAAATTTGAGGGCGTCGGATTGAAACTCATTGATTTGTTATGGAATTCACCATATACATGTTACTGGCAATGCCGGTAATCAGGCAATGCGTTTATTAACTTAGTCAAGCTATATTTTACGCATACTTAAATAAATTCCGGCAATTTAATGACTTTATTTTAAATTTGAAAAATGAAATTTTGTTGTAAATATATTCCAATAGTAAAATACCTATCCTTTAAATTTTAGACAATTTTGCCATGAATCTTTAAGTAATTTTTTAATTTATATATTGACTATGATGCACATGTTGGCTAATTTCTAATATTACCGGTGATGGTAACATACGTTAAAATTTCCAAAAACCCATTTGCTAAAATTTTAAATAATTGTTTTAATTAACGATTTTTAAGTTTTTTTAAAAATTATACATTTCATAATTGCATAAAAATAGTAACTAATTAAATATTTAAAGATAACATTATATAAATATATCAATAATTCTTTGACCTTTCATAATTTACTATAAATTGATTCCTTCCAGATCGTAAGCCGAACCAAAACTTACAGAAGTCAATGCAGAGATAAAAGGATCAAGGAATATTTTTATGGTCATAGCCATTACAACAGTTCTATCTCCTCACTTCTCCTTAACGATAGGAAATTTTTTCCTCACTCTTTTGAAGTTCGGTTTGACGAAGTTAAACTTTACCGGATAGGCAACAAGCAAAATGAAATATTACCCGATTCTTGTCTACCTCTTGGGGTTAAAGTCAAGGATCAAAATATGTCCCTTTTTCTTACTAAACCCAGTTAATTAATTTCACGTTAAATTAAAGAAATTTATTTATTTAACCAATAATATTTAAAATATCATTTGTGGAATCAAAATTATAGCTAATTTATTTAAATATCAATTCTTTTAATATTTCATAGTCAATTTTTTTAAAATCTAATTTTTTATACGATTATCTATAACTAATCTATATAATTTTATAATTCCATTAGATTTTAATATCCAAATTAGTATTGATTAAATAGATTAGTACTTTAAAATAAACTTTATTTTTTCTTTAAATAAAGGTTTCGATTTACTACATCATATAGCTTCCTTAAGCATGGCTCAAACAGATTCCGAAGAAGATATTTTAAATGCAAATGTTGCTGGTTTCATATGCATGTAACAATTCCTTTTTTAAAGATAATTTTTATTAATTTAATATACTGTTTTTAGTAGTCGAATATCATAATTTTAGGCAATATATGAAATCGGGGCCGATATCGGATCAGATTGGTAAAATATTTATGGATCAGCACAGACCAATTAATTATAAATGATAATATTGATTTTCAATAAATGTACAACATTATTATTTTTTGTATCGGCTTTAATAGGTTTGGATATCGGTATTCGCTAAAAAGGTGGTATTGGTGAATCTTTTTAATAAACTAAATATCGTTTTAAAATAATTTTCTTCAATGGTATAATCGATGTCTTACCTTTAAAAATATCATTATATATACTTATATAAATATTAATTGACGTTTAGTTTAAGAAACTTCTGTTATGATATTTTTAAAAATAAAAAACTCTTATTTAATATAAAGCTGGACCTAATCCTAACTTTAAACTTAGCGAGATATACTTAGTAAAATTCCTAAATCTTCCATGAATGAAAACATAAAAATATGAAATCGAAAATAATTGTCCTTATTTTTTTTTTAAAATAACAGTTGGAGATGATCCTTTTTTTTGAAGTTACGTATAAAAGATCTTGATATACCAACCGAGACCGGTAGACACTAGTTTTCAGGCCTGGCCCAAATACTAGCCTGCTGATATCGGCTTTATATAATAATCATGCCAATACCATTTAATCATATATTTAAATTAATTAATTCCTTTTTTTAAAAATATTATTTAAAAGTACGGATATTAAAATGGACAAAGAAACTATGACGATCTTATCACCGCAATCTAGACCGTTACCATATAACACTTTATTATTAAGCCAAATACAGTTTATTGATTACACATAATGTTCTCAATTTAAATATTATTATTTAATTTTATATTATACTAATAGTTTGTAAAAGATTTAAAAAATTTTTATGATTATATTTTCAATAAACAATTAATGATATAGATATGTAAAGTAAGTGTAGTTTTATTTTTTGATCTTGATTATGCAAATTTTTGTGTAATTCTAAAATAAAAAAGGGGAAGGAAAGAGCAATGTTGTTAAACCCTAATTTCAAAAGTAGAGCGTTACTGTTATCGTTATTTTTCAAAAAAGGCAGCACGCTACCACTACTTAAAAAAATAGCGGGCCATTAGCTACCATTTTGAAAATAGCTAGGTTACTTTAAATTAATTATGTTGTTACTTATAAAATGTAGATTGGTTAGGTCGTTATTTGTAATTGAAGGATTTTTTAGTATGCAAATTTTAATTGTTAAATTTATTGTGATATTATAAATGTTTAAATAGGTAAATTAGTAACTTTTCACGTTTGTATTAAACAAAATAAAATTACAGTTTTAATTTTTTTTAATTGCTGTTCTTTTGTATAATATATTAATTTTAAAATCCTTTAGATTCTTAATTCATAACCTGTGTCATAATATAACAGTGGTGCCGAATTATATACGTGCTATTAAAACTTCAGTCTAATTAACGAAATAGGAAATTCTGAAAAAAGGGGAGAAGAGATAGATGAAATGACGATAGACCTTACGACAAAAGAATAAGATCAATCAATATAAATAAACAAGAGAATCAATATCTGGGCAAATGGTTAGAAGGAAAGAAAAGCAAATTTTTGAAACTATAGTTAGAAAACGCATGATAAAGAAAAAAGTATAGAATTAATCGTTTTAGTTACAAGAGATTGTTATCATGATTAGAGATCGTTATCGTTATCTCTACAGGAAATCATTATAGTGCTAGAGATCGTTATAGCTAAAAGAGATATACAAATATCGGTATCGTTACAAGAGATATATATCGTTGCAAGAGAACGTTATCGTTATAAAAGATCTTTTTCGTTTATCATGATCGTGACAAGAAATCGTATGATTATGATTATAGAAGACATTATCATAGATCATTAGAAGCCACAAATAATAGACAAGACTAGAAAAAAGCGAAATCATTTAAAAATTTATTTCAATAAAGTTAATGTTATAAAAGAATTTAAATAAAAATGACTTAAATTAATATAATAAAATAATTTTCTTATGATTAATATCTGCCGATAAAAAATATTTGTACCAGAAGATAAAGTTTTAATCATAATAATAAATGATAAATTATCAATCAAGGGTGGCTGAACTTTATCAATTATAAAAGTGACAATGTCTTTATCAGTCATTTTCTGAGAAACATCTGAATATGTACCAAATTAAAGAATGTGGTTTGAATAAAAATTTTTTTGGTGTCGTTACTTCTATACCAAAATTATTCAGATATTTTTCTATCTCCATGAAATGGTTGGCACAAACATTCTTAAAAGTAAAAACTATCAAAATGTAAAAACAAATTATACCTTAAGGAACTGCTAGGAGATGATGTAATTTTCTTCAAATTTAGTTTTTCCATTAAGTTGAAATAATTTTCAAATGAAAAAGGAAATTGATAATATTGCTACCAAGAATATCATCTTCTAGTTTCATTCCGTTAATATTATCTGTGTATGACTCACTTAAATTTATATTCATTTACCTAGGCATTTAAAAATATTTCGAAAATATAAATATCACCCCAACAAATGATTCAGCCGATTTCTTTCAAAATCTGCCGATCCAAAGCATTCACTCATTTTCAGGATGACATGTTCCTTTTTTTGGTTTTTGTAATTTAAAGTTATATTATATATATATGTTTATAATTTTTTATAGTTTTAATAGTTTTAATAGTTTTTATGCGCTCATTTTAAATTAAAATTTTAAATTCAAAAAAAAAATTTCAAAATTTGATAATAAAATTTCGTGTTTATAATTGTATTCATCAAATTTTTTAAAAAGTAGGGCACTACTTGATTACTTTCTAAAAAGTAGAGCTCGAACACAATTGCTATTTGGTAAACAAAAAAGGTAGCACACTACTTTAACAACTCTGAGAAAGAGATATTAATAAATTGGTCTAAGAAACCTCGAAAAATAAAGTTTATTTAAAAGCTAATATAAAAAAAGTATTAATATCGAATCTAAATAATGATTACAGATACAATAAAAAATGCAAAATATATTTGGCCAACACAACTCTTTCAGCAAGGATTTTCATAATTGGATTAACATGTTCATATTTTTGAAAAAATAATTGAAATGCTATAATAATATGATAAAAATATTGTTAATTTATAATTATAAATTTTTAACCAAAAAATGTTTGTTTAGTTTTTAGGATTATACTGGTCAATACCACACATTTTTAATTTACTTCTTTTTTTAAGTCAAAAACACAAATATATATTAAATATAGCAAAAAATATAAATATTAAATAATAATTATTTCTCCATGTAATAAAAAATTGCATTATTATTGATTAAGTTTTTTTAATATAAATTCAAAATTAAATGATATTCTTCAGTATTAATGATTCTTTTTCTGTCAGTCCTATTTTTTCCCTTGAATTAGCTATATTATGTATTATAATACGAGTTAAAAATTAAATTATACTTCTGTATAAATGTTTAATATTGTGTTAAATTTTTAAATTTATATAATAAATAAAGGAAAGTCAACTCAACCTACTTTAAAATATTTTTTTCAATAACAAAAAATATATTTCCCTTATTTTATTATCAATGTTCTCTTATGCATTTGGAATTACGCGGATGTATATTTTTTTAAATTCTGGTAGCTAAACCTAATACGATTTTTATCGATGAAATATAGAAATTCGAAAAATATCTTTTTAATATAATTAATGCAAAGAATTATAAAAAAACTAATATGTTTAAAAAAAAATTGGCTACGAAATAATCCCATAAAAATAAAAATCTTGTAACCATGGTTGCTCGCAGCCTTGACCCGTCCTTCAAAATTAGTAAACGAAAATTATGTATAATATAATATTTATATTATAAATTTAAAAATTTTTTAAAATATTTGAGCTTGCCTCTTAAAATATAAATATATGTTTATAAGATATTTACGTTTTATTTTGAAATTTATTTTAATATACTTACATTTTCTAAATCCTGAATACCTATTGTATATTATATCTTTTTGATAATTTTTTCCGTTTCGAATTTAAATAAAAATTTATCATATTTTATTAGCCTAATTTAGTTTATTTTTTGGCTGAGAAGGTTTCCAATTGACATACAATCTTATATTTTCTTTTTATTTAGAATTATGATAATATTAATAATGTTTGTTTTACAATTTTTGATTAACCTAATTAACTAAATTTTTTTTGAATAAGATAAAATAATTTTATAGTCTCGAATTATTTTTTAACCAAAAAATCTACTAGAGTTAAAAAATTTCCTATCCCCTCCGGCAATAATCGGGAGTTTTTGTTTGGTTAAAAATATATAATATAGAGGTCTGCAATGGGTGGGGTTTAACCCGTTTGCTTGCCCGTGGTTTTTTAAAACCAAAGGACAAAGAACAATAATATGATTAAAAATTTAAAATTTAAACAATTTTTTTTTGAGAACACTCATACAAAATATTTTATATAGATTTAATTAAATGAAAAATGGCCTGTTGAGCTGTTTTCATTTAGTAAAAAAAAATTCTAATTTTTAAGAGATATTTTTGTTTTTTAAAATATACTTTTTTCCCTCCAAGCTGCTAAATCAATGTCAGGCAAGTCTTTACACGTTAATAATGGGTTACTTAAAAAGACATGATATATCATCTTATTAATTTTATTAACTTTACTTGAAGCTAGGTTTTCTGAAGACGTTCTGTTGAATTATAGTTATGCTATCTGAATTTTGACATAAAACTTTCGCCAATGATACTTTCCTTAATTCTTGTAATTGATCTATATTATAAAAGAATAGAATGTATAAATTATAATTACTACTTATTGATATATTATTATAATACTGGCAAAATGATCATTCTAAGATCACTATATATTCTGTTTAAAACAAATTAACGAGCGAATTAATATATGAATGCATATTAAAAGATAATAATTATCAATGATAATTATATTTTTACCTATAAATATTTATTACTCATCAGAGATAAAAACCCAATAAGTAGCTAGTTATGAATGTTTTGAATAAACGCCTATCTTAAAAAGGGGCAACAAACCTTTCTTCAGCGCGAAAATACAGACTTAAGATTTTTACCACCAAGTCACTTTATGGAATTAGAGGATCCTATTATAAGTGCTCGTAGTGAAATTACAGAATACTTCAAAAAAACATCTCAAAAGGCCACCCCTCATTGGACTTGATAAGATAATCTTAATTATACTAGTATTTTATGAATTCTCTTTCATAATTGCCTGGCTACACGGAAGCCGCAGAAATTATTGTATTAGAGCTTAAAGAAATTATGGGAAATAACGATGAGGAATTTTACAAATTATTTGAGTCGAGTTGAAAACATAAATTGTGATGAGTGAACAAATATCTTTAAAGTTGCCTAGCCCACTTGGACAGTATAGGTATGATAGTTAAAAAATATAGATTTTTTTTAAGGCAATACTTTATATTTTTGTAGAGATAAAAGACTTAATCTTCTTGATAATGAAGTTTTTTAAATGATCTGCACATCTATACAATTTTATAAAATAATTTTTACACAAATAGAGGAAGTCGAAATAGACAATCAAACTCATCTGAGTTCCTCAAGCATTTATTCATATAAGGGAAATCTCTTACGGAATGAAATTATAGAGATTGAACAATTTATAAAGAAAATCGGGAATTTTTTTTGTGGCTGGGACATCATTTCCCTACTCATATACTTGACCCAAGATATTGCGGATTTAATTTTAAAAACAATGAAGTTGTTGATAAAGGATTAAAGTTATGAACATTTTTAGATGTTGGGAGATAAATGACAAATTTGATTTTAGAGATCTGGAATCGTTTCAAACGAAGATAACAAAATTAAATAATTGAAATTATATAAAATTTGTTTAGATAACATATTAATAGTCTATTTATTTTTGAAAAACATGAAAAAAATCAATATTGACCTGTTAAATAATTTTTTAATTAAAATTTCCCGTTGTGTTATTTTCCATTTTTTCCATAAATTTCATTCCCTCAATTATAGTTTCCCGGGAAATTTGCATCTTTATGAATGAATTAACCTTTCTAATAGTAATTAACTATACAGGGATTTGATTTTACATCAAATACTAATGAAATCATTGAAAATGAGCTCAATCGGAGATTGCATATATTTAATTCATAATAGCTTGCCAGTTTTATATGCTCAATAAATGATTAATTTTTATATAATTTTATGCACTTATTTATTTTATAGTGTAGTAGTTCCATTTTTAGCCTATTCCAAAAACGGCAAATACGAGTTTTTAGCCAAAACATCAGAACATTTTTGTGCCTAAATTTTAGATAATTTTACATAGTGATTCGGTCCCGTACGGTCCTTTTTTCAAAAATAAGGCCATACCTATGGACCAGGTCAAGTGAGATCAGACCGTGGGATCATCGGTCCGGTCCCATCTAAAAATTGTTTTTTATTAAGCTATAAAATATTTATTCTGCATTAAATTTATTAAAAATGTAAAATGTTAAATTACCAATATTTTAATTATATCATCAAATCATTTTTTATTATATTATACAATACAAATGCCTAATATTTCAAAAGAATATTAAACTAATATAAATTTATTGGATATAATTTAAATCAATTTGATTTGCTTATTTAATTAGTTTTTTGTAGATATTTGGTTATAAAATAAAACTGATTTATATATATCTTCTAAAAAATCAAAAATTATTCCATTTCTTATCCATGATTCAAGTGTCATTAGAGATTGAACCATCTTTGGATTCATTCTATTTAGCTTTTTTGTTATTTTATCACTAGCTTTGGAAAATATCGTTCACATGCTAGTGATGTAGCCTGCTGTGGGAAAAGTCCATTACTATTTTGGCCAGAATTGGAAATCGATATTGATTCCCTTCCCACCAATCTAGTATTTTAGAATTAATTGGATATAAAATATCAGATAAATAGCTTTGGATTTCATTTATATTATCTTTCTCAGCTTTCTCTGATGTCCCAATATCTGTGAGCTTATCCCTGGCTATTCCTTAAATAATAATGATCAATAAAATAAATAAATAAAAATATTATACTACTTACCCTTATAAATTAAATTACTTGATGGATGAATTGAATGAAACGGATGAATATAAAAAGTAAACGATGAATGAGATATTAAAAAGTTTTAGGCATTAAATAATCATGTTTTTTGTGTTCTTGCACATGTGCATTAACTAAAAAACAGTTCATAGTTAACTTTTAGTTTCTTTAATCGGTCTGACCGGACCTGACTATTGGGCCGTGTTTCCGGACCGGGTCGTCCCGTTGGACTCAAAAGTCAGATAAGACCAAACTGAACGGATTGGACCACTGTAAACACTTATTTTATACATTATTTAGGTATTCAAAATTGCCAATTATATATAGTCGCTAGTTCTGATAGATTTTAGATGTTCAATAATGACTCCAAGAATTTTAGAATTTTTTTTAAGATATAAAAAATTGTCTCTCCTCAAAAAAAATTCTAACAGATCTGACACTAGTAAGGGAGACCGGGGCTATCCAACAGGTGGGGTAAAAAGGCAAAACTAACTTTTTTTTTCTTTATAGGACTAATTGTTTCAAATTTGGTGAAAAGATGTACATCTATAAATACTATCTACATATGTTCATTTAATAAGGGAAGCTCCTTATTCAAAAATATATATCAAAAACGATTTTTTAGCCAATTTTCAACAACCTTTCTTTTGTATTTTTTTTTTAGGAAAATATACTTCTTCAAATTGTTATCTATCATATTACCCAAGATCTAAGCTAAGGATTAATTGGCCCGAAGTTACTAGTTCATCTATAAAGGTTTCTATAACCATTTAGGTCAACACTATCCACGGGGCTAAACGTCAGGGGATAAAATGGCAAATAAAAGAATTAAATTGGATAAAATTTTTTTTATTAAATTCAAAAATGATAAAAATAAAACACAAATTGGAATTGTGTAATGTGCAGCAAAAGTTATAATCATAATAAAAATAACGCGAAGACTGGATAGAGTGTACCAAATGTCCTGATTGGGTATAAGTTGTGGTAGGCATGTTCCATTTTATATGTGCCCATATTGTAAAGATTAATTTTTTAAAAAATATTCATAATTTTTAAAATTGATAATTATAACAATAAAAATGAAAAATTTTATGTTTAAATTTAATATTTGCCATCTTACCCCGGATAGGCTTGCCATTTTACTTAGGGTCGTTGGTAAATAGTAAAAAGCACTACTTTTACTTATCCTCAAATAATACGTACAGTGTAATAAATAGAAAACCCCGTTTTCTTATATTTTATAATCTAGCCAATGATATAATTAGTTTTATCCTCTAAAATGAAATTAAAATGTTATCGTAAAAGAGCAAAACACTTGCCGTGTAGCCCCGATATTCCCTACATTAGTTTATTTTATCTTTAAAATAATCATCAAACCAGGAAGGAAAGCGTGTTCGATTACATCACTACGATTAGCATTTTCATACCAGAATCTATCTCCAAATCGTAGTCTGAAAAATTGATCCCCTAAAAGGCAAGCAAATGTCGGGCCTATTTCAGCGTCTTCCGCATGATATTCGGAGATGCCACCGGGGAATAAATCTACATCATCAACATCACTAAAAGTATTGACATGTAAACATAATATGTATAATAAGTTAGACTTATATAGGGCTCTCATTCTTTCAACCACATCTGAAGGCATAGCCTCTTTCATGTCATCCCAATTGATAAATCTCTTTAAACCACAAATATCACGAAATTCATTATAAGCAGGTATTCCATGATCTCTTCCTCGGTGTATGTTTAATGCTAGAAGGTCCATACCTATGAAAGTAAGTTGGTGTTATATAGGTTTATAAAATTATTATTTGTTTATACCGTATCCTTTGCTCTCATGTTGAAATAAGTGTTCATTTATATCTTCAGCAAAATTGTGATCAATTGTATTGGCAGACTGACGAACTAAACCCCTTAAAAGAGGATCTATTCCTTCTGGAAATTCTGATAAATATACAGTCCTCGGTGATCTTAATGTATTTTTAAGTGGCACTGAAGAGTGAAAAATTCCTAAATATCCAATCCTATGGAATTCGTTGCTAAATTTATATAGATTTGATAAATATTAATTTCTTGCTATTGAAATAAATGTTCTTATGTTATAAATGCAAAAAAAGTGAAATAGGTGAAAATTACATCTACTCTTTCTATTCATATAATGGGGAAATAACATGATCTAGCTATTTCTTTTATCATCAATAAGGATCCAGAATGGCTCACTGTATCTGCGATGCAATAATTTTAATAATATTTGTATTTCAAATGTGAATACTATTATAATGACATTTCCATAAATTCAAATTTTAAATAAGCTTTTATAATTCACAAATATTATGCTTTCAAAATATATATTTTGTTAATTTTATTGTTATTACTTAATTTTTGATGGCATTTAACACATTATACTCAAGGTCAAATGTAGTGCGCCAACCTTAACTTGTTTCATTGAATATAATAATTGGGATAAATATAGAATTATATAAATCTTATCTTTAACTTTTTGTTATTAGCCATTTTTAAATTAAATTTGAATCTATTTATAGGCCACCCTTCTGACAAATATTATTATTACTAATACTTAGACCTGTGCGCCGATAAAACTATCGACGGCCGGCGCAATTTTCAAAAATCTAATCGACGACCGGCGGATGGCCGATTTTTAGCTTCCGTCAACAAAATCTCGATTTCGTAATTTTATAATTATCATGTATAAAAATTATTTTATTTAGTTTTTCGGGACATAATGAT